GGGAGGGGGGAGAGGGGGCCTCGTCAGCCTTGTCCTTGACGGCCTGTTTCGTGTGACCCCCTAGAGCTTCCCCAAGGGGTCCCCTGGGCCCCTCCGCAGGCAGCGGCGCAGCCGCTTGAATATACATAAACGCGCAGTGTTTAAGACGCTGCTTGTTAGCTGTGGGTTAACGCAACGCGCTGTCCCACAGAGCTCTTCCAAAATGCAGGCTGCCCCGTCCTCCCGCAAGTCCGTCTCGTGTGTTCTTCCTTTCTGACTCTTGAACTAGTCTCAGATTTAAGTCTAGCGCTAGACCTGGCTCCCCTAGACCCTCGGCACTCAGCTCTCAATAAAATTCTTTCCAAGAATGATGTCAACAGAAAGCGCCAACAGTTTCACGCTGATCGGAGAGGCGTCAGATGGCGGCACGATGGAAAACCTCAGCCGGAGACTGAAGGCAAGTTTCACATGAGCTGGTGAACTCGGATACGTTTTGAACGGAGCATCAGTTTTTCTAGATGCTCCGCAAGATTAAACCGTGGTTTCTCTTAGCACTGGCCTTCCAGTATTTTTGTTGGTGAGTAGTTCAGTAAAGCTGCCTTATTTTAAATAACATTTAGACCTTTGACCAAAAACGCTTTGCAATTGAAGCAGCACGAGCCCATCAGTTGAGAACCAGCCGGCAGCTGCCTGTGGCTTTGCTGAACTAACGGTGAGCTCTTCCCGCAGGTCACCGGCGACCTCTTTGACATTATGTCTGGGCAGACCGACGTGGACCACCCTCTGTGCGAGGAATGCACGGACACGCTGCTGGACCAACTAGACACGCAGCTCAACATCACGGAGAACGAGTGTCAGAACTACAAGTGAGTGATCCGGAGGTGACCTCAGACCGAGGTGCTTCAGGGAAAGAACACAACCCTGATCCGGCTTTCCGTGATCGGTAACAGGCATCCCTGACTGCAGCGCTTGGTTTGCTTTGTCTGAATGAGATGAAAAAATTATTTTTGAGAGTCCTGTGCTACACAGCTTCTCTGGCTGAAGTCTGTGAGCCCATCGGGATCGATGCGGAGAGCTCGGGCTTCACGAGAGGCGCACACGAGATCAGAGTCCCTGTTTGCACCTCTGCTCGCGTGCGCGGGCTGTCACGGAACCGGGGACTGTTGGCGGGGGAGCTTCCCAGCATCCCTGTGTTGGTAATCCTGTCGCTCTCCTTTAGGAGGTGTCTGGAGATCCTGGAGCAAATGAACGAGGATGATAAGGAGAAACTGCAGACAGAACTGAAAGAACTTGCGCTGGAGGAAGAGCAACTGATTCAGGAGCTAGAGGACGTCGAGAAGAACCGCAAGATTGTGGCTGAAGACTTCGAGAGAGTCAGGGCAGAGGCAGAGCGGCTGGAGCAGGAAGAAGCTCAGTGAGTGAACTACAACTGCAATTTATGGCAGGGATTTTAGGTAACAGTTAAAAGAGATTATAATGTGGAGAAACCTGTAAATGATGCCCGAATGCAAGTGGCTTGTTCTTTGCAAAACTGAAGTTGGCCAGACCAAAAAAACCTGGTATACCCTGTGAGCAATCGCTTTTCTGTAAAAGCCTGCACTTAACGTTTCTTGTCTTGCTTTTCTTGAAAGGTACCAGAAAGAATACTGTGAATTCAAGAGGCAACAGCTGGAGCTAGATGATGAGCTGGAAAGTGTGGACAACCAAATGCGCTACGCCCAAACGCAGTTGGATGATTTAAAGAAAATCAATGTGTTCAATGCAACCTTTCACATCTGGTAATACAAACGCTGGAATATTGCGTCAGTTTGCTAAGAATCTGTGATGTAGGGCCGTTTAAGTAATACCTGACCGGAAAGGTGCCGGTCAAATCGTAGTTACCCACAGCAAAGCAATCAATCCCAGCTCCCAACGGTGTCAGCCAAGAGGGGTTTGCTACGCCGCGCAGGTGCCCGAGTAGACTCTGAAACGGCTCTTTCACCGACGCCATTAACGAACCGGGAGCTGCCGCGCTAGCCAACGGCAGTGCTCTGACATCAGGCTTCGCAGAGCTGGTGGTTTGGGGGTTTGGTTATGGGGTTTTTATGAACTCTGTCATAAAAAGAGAACAAGTGGTTAGTATTTCTATACGCTTTTTAACCAGAGCCCCCAAACGTTGGTGAGCAGTGTGCGTTCTGTACCTGTTGGTAGGTGGCCCTTGTTTGGTTAGCGTGCTCGAAGCTGTTCCTGCCCCAGTGCGCTTATTTATAATCCCTCTTATCGCAGGCACAGCGGTCAGTTTGGCACAATAAATAACTTCAGACTTGGCCGTCTCCCCAGTGTTCCCGTGGAATGGAATGAGATCAACGCTGCCTGGGGGCAGACTGTGCTGCTGCTACACGCCCTTGCTAACAAAATGGGCCTGAAGTTTCAAAGGTATATGTGATATAATACGTGTTTCACTTACGACACGGATAAAGACAGTTAGACTCATCTGCCTGTGCATCGTATCTCCTTTCAGATACCGTCTCGTACCGTACGGCAACCACTCGTACTTGGAGTCCCTCACGGACAAATCGAAGGTAAGAGGTCCCGCACAAATTGGAGAGGTTGACTTTGAATGCCACAGGGCCCTGGTCACACCGGGGGACACAGGAGACAAACTCGTCCCTTTATGAATTTATGGTGCTAGCTTCCCCAACACAGCAGTAACGCCTCACTCCACGTCCTGTATCAAGCCTCTCGTTCTGCCGCCCAGTAGCACGTTGACTCTTGAACCCCACGCTGCGGAAGGTGGCATGGTTTGGGGCGATTGTTGGTGATTAGGAGCCCAAGCCCGCAGGTGGTAGGCACTTAGCACAAAACAGGTCAGGCTTATTGTGAGCCACAAACCGTTTCTAAGCATCCTCTGACCCATTTAAGCCTTGCACAAGACTAAAGAGCTGCAGTGACTGTATCTAAAATGGAGAGCTGGGGGTGCCTGAAACGAACCCCTTTTTCCAGGAGCTCCCCTTGTACTGCTCTGGAGGCCTAAGGTTCTTCTGGGACAACAAGTTTGATCATGCAATGGTGGCTTTCCTGGACTGCGTGCAGCAGTTTAAAGAGGAAGTGGAAAAAGGCGAAACTCGGTTTTGTTTGCCTTACAGGTGAGCGTTGCTATATAACACGTCAAATTAACACCTCACGTGCTGTCCTGCGCAGCACTAACTGACCTCTGGACCGTCCTGTCTCTGGAATCATCCGCTGTCCTTTGTAACGTGCAGGACGACCACGTTTGCTTTTAGTTTAATTGAAATCTCAAGCTCGTTCCTCAGGTGAAGACCTGAGCCTTGCGGGATTTCCTTTAAAAACCAAGTATTCTTACGTAGAATAACATGAATGTCAGGTTTAAATTTTAGTACTTGACGTCATATTGAGATTAGATGCTCGCAAAAGTAATGCACTAATAAAACTTTGTGTGTGATGCAGGATGGACGTGGAGAAAGGGAAGATTGAAGACACAGGTGGCAACGGTGGCTCTTACTCTATTAAGACACAATTTAACTCTGAGGAGCAATGGACAAAAGCACTAAAGTTCATGTTAACTAACCTGAAGTGGGGTCTTGCCTGGGTCTCATCCCAATTCTACAACAAGTGACCGCATAAAGAACTCGTCCTGGCAGCTGCGAGTGTCTGCGTTTCGTTGGAGGAAGTCAAATTAAGATGTCTCTTAATATTAACCAGTACAAAATGTTTACAATACCAAAAATCCACAAGACACTTTATTTAAAATACCATTATTACAAGTAGTATGTAGAAAAGCAATATGTAAAGTTATATCACTGAGCTGAACAGAATAAAAACCCAGCTATTAAATAGATGCTAAACTGGTACTTTTGGGGCGCATAGGTGTGTGCATAAATTCCCGTCGAACTTCAAAACACCAGTGAGTTTGTCGATACTGTTGCAGGTTAACACACAGGTTAGAAAAGCAAAATGTTACAAACAGAGGGAATAAGGTGGAAGAACTCGCAGAATCTCTGCTTGGTCATTAAACAGTAACTATGGTTTGAAATAAAGTATTTTCTAAGTCCTATCAATCAGCACTTCTTTGATACTGTTTAAAATACTGTTAGCTATGACAATATAAACTGTTTGTAATACTTCCTGCAGCCTGTCCCTGCACAGAGGTGCACCGAGTAAACAATAAAACACTATTCTACACAAAGAGTGCTTTCATCTGGCATACGCCAGGCACGGCGGTGGCAGCCCCCCGTGCTCACGTGGACGCGCCGAACGGGCGGCTGCTGTCGCGACAATTGCATCGCTTTCAAAACCAGCGGGATTCCGTGCTTTTCACAACACTGGTCAGCTAGCTGGCTTGCTTGGGGTACGAGCAAAGAGGGAATGTGGTAACAAGCGACCTGGCTGCAGCAGGCTGCCTGAGAGGAAATAATTTTTTTAAACGCAGCAAATGGAGAAAGAAAGTACAACCCTGTAATGACTGGGCACGCAAGACGCTTCTGGCAACACTGACTGCCATGCAGCATACCCTGCACGTTAATGCCTTTTCAAAACATGACTCAGAGTTTTCTCTTTATTCAAAGGAAACTTATATTCATAACTTAGAAGGCGTAGCTCTTACAATAAAGCTTTCGGTGCCAAAAGAGGCATTTCTAAATGCTACTTTGCTCCTGCGTGTCTCCCTTGGCAGCAGTGGTGCGTCACCTGAAAGGATGAGCTTTCTAATTAACATGTAACACACAAAACGTCACAGAACACCTGGTGTTCAAAACCAAAAGTAAAGCCAAATCGCGTCGGGTGCCCTCCGCAGCATCGCACAAGCTGGGCTGTTATCAGCAGCGTAGCAGTTTGCTACTGATACGCTAGCGACTGGCTGTAGAAGATAGTTCTACTTAAGATACATAATTCTCTTCTCTGGAGGTTTTGTTCCACTGTTCCTGGAGTGCTGCTTTGCAGTGGAACTGCCAACGATGTGTTTCAGTACTGCGTAAGAAAACTCTAAGATACTTTGTGAAGTAATGCCAGTGATACAGTTTAAATGCTCCACAACCTTAAAAAAAAAATAAAATATAGACTTACAGTGCCTTAAGAGACATTAGCTTACAGACAGGCTTCTTAACCCTCCAAATCTAACGAGAATATTCGTTACTGGGCGTGCACTAGTGGGTCTTTGACAGAAGTTGAAGCCCCTCAGCATGGGTTTTTGTTTGTTTGCTTGCTTGTTTTGGTGTTTTGTTTTGTGCTTTTTTTTTTTTTTAATTTATTTAACTGTTTCTACTAAAGAAGTAAAACAAAAAAAGCTCCTATCTGTAACAGGCTGTTTGTTATAGTATTTAGAAGCAGTTATCCCATGGGATGGCTCCTCCAGCCAGCAGTGAAACCATGTCTGTGGGTTTGCTCTGGCCGTAAAGAAGCCAAAGCACGAGGATAAGCTCCCACGAGCGCAAGCACAAGCCCTTCTGTGGAATTGCCCACGTACCCTCATAACGCTCCTACAAAAGCATGCATGCTTCCTGCTAAAAACCCCAAAAGACGTCACCTCCCTCACGCTACTCCCAGTACAGTCCACCTCTCTTCTTGCCGCACTTAAACCTGCAAACAATCTTCACGGTTTTTCACGGTGAGCTCGTGTTTAGAAGTGACCGTACCTGCTTCCATTGCCCAGGGTTTAGTATGAACACGCTTGTGCTGATGATTCCAACAGCCAGGAGCATGAAGTCTTCCTTTACTGTCAAAAACTTCACTCTGCAGCAAGTAAAAGCGTCTTCTGGTGTAAAATGATGCTGGTTTTACAGTTCGAAAGCACCTACTTCTGTAACTGCTATACAGCCTACGGACACGTTAGCTTATTCAGTCCAAACAAAGCCTCATACTGTTAACTTTAACTGACAGTGCTAAAATTGAATTTTTACGATTAAGTTAAACGCTTTCCTCGCTTGCTGCCAAAGCAAATGTGGTGAAGCACGTTGCTTTGAACTGGTATATTAAGATCAATAAACTGAAAGCCCTTCAAATTATTTTTTTTTTAAAACATGCCCAAAAAATGACATAATGGGAATTACGCTACTATTTCTTAGGGGGTTTTAGGGTTTTAATTTCAACTACTTGTTTTAAGCAAGAGTCACATAAGTAACTTACACCTGCAGTTTGCTTGGTGTCGAATTTTCGATGGCAATCTTCAGCAAAGTGTCATAGATGGTATCTCTTGTAAGATAGGAGAAGTCTAATAGTTGCGTACACATCTGATGTAATGGCTTTGCAGGAAGCAAGCAGCCGTTATGTCCTAGCACAGAGATCATATGTAATCAGCCATATGCTTTGGGTCCTTAAACTCAATTAGAAAGAAGTGTTAGTTACCGTAAGCGAGGGATGCAGATCTCTGGTGACAACTGCCCTTTGTTTCCGAATGCCACCGGCCCTCTCGTGCCATAGGCTTTCTCAATCTCAGTGTAATTTCACTCATTCCAAAATACAGGTTGTCAAGACCTGGGTAAGTCATTGTAGAAAATGTGGCCTAACACTAGGTTTCGGGGGTTTAAAGTTCTTAATTTTTACTGGCTGAATCACAACTGGCTGTCCAACAACATCCAGCAGATTCTACTAAGGACAAAGTTCTCATCTGAAAAGTAAAGGCCTGGATGATCTGAAAAGTTTCACATGCCTTCACAGCATGTAAAAATCTGTAATACGAGACATTTTGGTTCAGATCAGCAATAGCTCTATTATGCTCTTTTAAAAATTCTTTCCTGTTCTCTCCTATTGATACTCTTACCTAAAACCTCTAGAAGCAATTCCACGTAAACCAAAGGAGTTGACACGTTGATCTGGAAGTGCAGAGTTTTTAAAACAGCAAGCTCCGACTCAAGCAATTCCTGTTTAGTGTATGAGTATTTTAAGGACTGTAGAAACTTTAAAGCTGTGTCACTGTTAACTATCTGAAGAGGAGGAAAAAAAACCCCAGAGACAAATTATCTTCCAGGCAATAAGGCACCTGCTAAGAACAAAGTATTTTCTTGCTATACTCCTCCCACTGAATGCAAGCTGAACCACTGCAGTGGCGATGCTGCCTGCCAACCCAGCTGCCTAACTCATCCTGTACGATGGCAAGAGAAATCCAGCTTGAACCTTCTTTCCTGTAGGTCTCCTCTGCTCCACAAACCTTCCCCAGACAGGCACAAGCCCTCTCTAGTCATACAATTTTCAGGCCGAGCTTTCCCGCTGCCCATGCTTTTCAAGTAACAAATTGTTACTCGAGTGACAATTAATCTGCCCTAAATGGAAGAGATTTAGGTCTCCATTTCAATATCCTTTGCATTTCATTATCACTATTGTCTTTCAGAGGGGAGATCTATGAGAGATTAGTACACTACACAATTTACTAAGCTGCTAAAAATGCTATAGGAAAGGGTTTAGCTGGCTTACGTTATAGTGTAAGGAAAGTTTGCTTGCAAGCTGAATGCAGGACACAAGTCGCAGGACAAACGTGTCGTATATCTGATGTTTCAGAGAGCTCCAGCTGCTGCCTTGTCCTTGTTCACGACTTATAACATTCTCTCTGGAGGACTTACAGATTTGTTCTACTTGCTTGATCATAAACCTACAAAAACCACAACTGCTCAGAGAACAGTTCTCTTCTGCTAAGAAAAAGGAAGAAAAGCAATTCTGCATGTACTCAGAACATATGGATAGCTGTTAATCTGAATTAAATGAGTGAAGAGACAAAGGTCTAGACACACAAAAACACATTATAGGTTGTTCGAATGAGCGCTATAGAGCAAGCACAGCATAACCACATGAGAGAAACAAGAAACGCACGGAGTGTTCAGCATATTTATTACCTTTCGAGTAACTCTACCGCTTGGTACCTTGTCGATTGGTCCAAGTGCCATTTTTCAGACAAAAGGAATATAAATTCTGGGGGGAAAAAGCGCAACTGTCATTCATTTCAGTCAACTGAAGTTAATTATACAGCAGTGAACCATCTCAGGAGTTCGCCATAGCTGAGAAAAAGAGTCTCACCCACTATCTGCGTCTCTTTGAAGCATCCAGCCTGACCCGGCAGCTCGCTCAGGTACTGCTCGTTTGCCGTGGCCAAATGGATCAGTGTATCCTCAATAATCTCAGGCGCGATTTTGCCAAAGACAGGGCCTGGGTCACGGCACCGGGCCGCTGCTTGCACCTGGGACCCCATTCAGCAGTTCAGCTCAGAGACCTGAAGGATGATAATTACTTCAACAGCACCGCGGCACTTCGTCAGAGGGAAAGGGCCGCGGGCAGCAGCGGCATGGCCGTGCT